GCTATATTAGGTAGCTTTACTGTTTGTGTAAAATTACGAGATCCGAGGAAGCCGGCTTCACTGTTAGCTGCTCGAGTAGCTGCTATTGTAAGATATGAATGGAGATACACATCCCCCATCTTTGCCGCCTCTCTCTTCCAGTCTTCGGGGTCGTCTTGTACAATGCACAAGCTGTCAATCCAGATATATCGTATCCCAAGCTCCGCTGCAACGGCTATCGCATTCTGGAATGTCAATGGCAGCTCAGAGAGCGGAAATCCAGCACACCTTGACACCAGGTTCGATTTAACAGTCTTGGCTGGCTGGCGCCCACCCCAGCTGTGGCTCAATGCGATGTACTTTCCAGGGCCACTTCCCGTACAAAAGAGCCGAAGTCGCTCAGTACGATGAACTTGGTCGAGATCTAACACCCTTGTAGGGAGAAGTGACTGTGTGGCTGGCTTTGGAGCATTGCACTCTAGATGACTGAAGCGACAGTCTTCCATCCAGTTCTTCACGAGTGTACCTATGTTATTCAAGTCCGGAACAAGTGAGACAGCCATTCCCAAAGGAAGTGGAATACCCCTTTCTTCATCAGATGCCACTGCAAGAAGTAATAATAAGTTAGCCTCAGGCAGGTTAAAGTTGTCTAGAACACTGCTAGCTCACGAGAGTCTGTAAATAACCTAATAGTCGACGTTGTCAACGTCTCTTCCTCAGCATCACCCTGTCTTATGAAGCATATGTCGAGTAAGTTTTCGTCAGGCCTTATGACGAGCTGCACTACTTCATCCTCGTCTATTCCCGCGGCCCCTAAGGCACCTGCGAAGTCCGAAGTAAATCGGGTTACGGCCGTTGGCGCTTGGATGCACTGTCCAACGAGAGAGCAGAATGCGCACCCCCTTGCCGATGTAGGCAGATCCCACAAATTAGCAATATGATGGTATTTGTCGCCTTGGAGTACGTGAACGCTCATGTTCAGGCATAATTTACATAGCATTGTGTCCCCTATTTGGGGCGGTTTCTGAGCCAGCCTAATCTTCTCCAGTGCACAAAGGACCAAATGAGGGTCGACATGATAGTCATGCTCCTCACTTGGTTGCGAGGACATCGCCGGGGAATAATGAAGGACTGGAGGGCAGCGATATACGGTATTATTAGATGACCAACAGGTCATATGCGTAAGTAATGTAGGTAGTGCGAGCTGACAGGACCCCGCCTATAATACCTGCACCTTTCATGGCAGCTAGAAGCCATTATTTTCTCCATTAATTACTATCTTTGGTATAGTAAAATACACCTAGCTTTAACCGTCGAGAGAGCACGCATCGGGGAATAATACCCATCTAACTAGAATAGTTCTCATATAAGTAGCTTCCTACTACTCAAAAGAGCGGGATATTCTAGTCCTTACAGATATTAATTGCTCAGGCTCAGGCCCGCGCAGGGAACTAATGTAAAAAGTATTGTTCGAAGTTTGCGGCCCTACCCTTCACAGTTCTCCGGAAGCAATCACTAGAGACCACCACTCCCTATCCGAGTGAGGCTTGAGGCTATCGTATTAACAGCATCGGTTGCATTATTTTTATAGACATCTCTAGTGTGTTGCGTGTAATGTGCTACAGTCGGTTGTACGCTGCATTTGAATCAAAACAAAAACCAAGAGATTGTATACACACCTTGGCTAATATCAGTAACTCAGCGAAAGGGGCACGAGAACATACCTCCGAGTCCCAAATATTAAGACAGTCGCTTGCAGATGATCATAGCTAGATAATAACACATTTATACCTCTCGTTAATTCATTTAACGGAAACGTCAAGTTCAATACAAAATCAAAGCGATTCCCCTCTGCGACCGCCGAATCCCATTACCAGGAACGGTAGGGTTACATCTTCCCCCGTGCCGCTTCTCCCCCATGCAACTTCATCTAATTTTGGACGACATTGAATACTGCCGACAACGATAAACCCACCTCTAGTGGAAAGAACCCCAAAACTGCAATATCAAAATAGCACCCCCTAGTCGAGATCATCGACCAACAGACTATTTCCATTTGACCCGTCCGTCCGTTGGCCAGTAAGGAGCGGTATAATAAATAACCAGACGTCGTTTTTCTGATAATCGGTAGTAGGCTGGGTGGCGATGATCGGGGTATTTTGTGATTACCTACGTTCCAGCCTAGGGGCCAAAGGGCAATGTAGCGTCGAGGGCGAGTACTCTATGCTGCGAACAATCATCCATTCTAGCCCTCGCCACTTTCGCATGCCTGAGCTTAGGGCTATGAACGGGGAGGCTATGTTAGTAATGTGCAATTTTACTTTGTAGCTCCCTATTTCACTTCAAAGATTTGTCTAGTTTTACTTATTTTCTCAGTATAGTGATTAGATCTATTTTAGCCGAGAAAGTATTTCAGTCACAACAACTCGACAGCCATCAACAGGCGAGCGTACGCGAAAGCGCTCTGGTCCCTCGTAAGAGCTTTGGGTATGTTCAGCGCGAGATCGTGTATTCGCTTGCTGTGGTAATAGCATAATACACCTAATACATCTGCTAGTGAGAACCCATACTCGAGTTGACGATAGGCCTAAGTATACTCTTAAGCCTGTCAATGCAGTGTCCTGCTCACTCGTCACCCCGACGACGTAAAGAGCGTGGCATAACCGCCTTGAAATCTACTGCTTGGATTACACAAACATAGCTTCTCAACGAGCTCCTGGTTCTCCAAGGAACAGGCCACGTGCACGTCTATGACGATGAAATAAAACAAGGGACAACATGGCAGACACGCAAGCGTTTCCTCATCTGACCTCGACGTGGACGTCGTTTCTCAACGGCACAATAGCCACAACTACCCCCTTGACGGCTATCTCAGCATTCCTAGACCTACCTCCATCCTCACCTTTACTAAAATCTGCACCTACTGAAACATCATCCTCGCTGACCCCATCTATTTCCGCCTCGTGGCTATCAGCCTCATCCATTAGCCCATGTCTGACTACTCCTACCCCGTCGCCCACAAGCCTATTAGAGACGGACTTGAGATCCCTACCCGTCTCGGCCACCCTATTCCCTCTCATAGGAGAGTCTGCATCTAACCAACCATCCATCTCCCTCTCTATCTCGTCGCCATATTCCGCGACGAGCGGTAATATCCCCCCTCTCGTCATACCACCCACACCACCATCACCGCCGCTCCCAACCGCCCCGACCTCTTCACGAAACCAGGCCACGACACGGCCAACACAAGCCAGCTTGTCGCAGACCCCCTCCTCACCACCACCTCCCACCCCCAGCGTCCCCACACCGCGACCAAAGGGCACCCCTCTCCCACCCGCCCCTCCCTCCGGCGAAGGGCGCAGCAGCAGCAGCGCAAGACCCGCCCTCGTGATCGCGGCCATCGTGGTCTCGGTCGTGGTCTTCCTCGTCATCCTCGCGATCGTCCTCGGCCAGCTCAAGCGGCGACGGCGGCGGGGATCCCCCCAGATCGAAGCAGCGCTCGATTCGGCCGACTCGTTCGCGGGCGGGAGCTACCCGCCCGTGGCCGCGTACCAGAGCGCGCACCGCGGGGTGGTCCGCGTCGTGGCTGATGAGCGGCCTGGCGAGGGGCGGGGGAGGGGAGGCATGGCGCTGTGGCACGGCGGGCGGCACGCGTGTGAAGATAGGAGGCCGGGCGCGAGTGATGGGGGCCTGGGAGCAGTTGGTACGGGTCGGTGGAGCGCGGGTAGTCTGCAAGGGAATGACTGGGTCGCCGGTTACTCTGAGATTGGGAAGGCGTATTAGGGGAGGGTGATAAAGAGATATATGGGGGTTTCATGAGAAGATGTGAGTATGTGGTGTATTAGAGCAACATGTTATTTATTATACCCCCGTTTTGTCACCCCCGGGCTCATTGATCCTAGCTGGCATGGCTGCTAGACCGCGATAAAAGAAAGTGATGTACGGCTTCATCAACAAGTCTTAGACTCGGCCTGTGTATTTAGAAGCTTGCATTTCATGCGGACTGCTCAATTGTGAATAAGTAATACTACAGCCATGTTATAAGATGACCTAATCAACCTGAAAGATTGGGTTACTCTGTACTTCCTAGGCGTTCATGCCCCATGAAATCCAGCCGGTATGTTGGTGATTTGATGGTATCTGTTGTCTTACCCTATCATGCTTCACGGGCATATAACTAAACATAATTATAAGTTTACGTAGCGCATGTTGTAAGGATTACTTTTAGGATGCGGGATACTATATCGATAAATGTCATGCAGAACAACTGATGTGGGGTGCTGAGCTAGACCTATACAGGAAATGTCAGATGAAGCTTGCGTCTGACGTTTGTGATTTGACAGGCCGGGGAAGCTTTTAGAACAGTTGCACACACACCATGCTTTAGACAGACGTTATGAGATTAGGAGTATCTGAGAGTTCACTTTGTTCTATAGAAAAATATATGTCTTATTTTAATACTATAATTGATGGCGGTGTGGGTATAGCCCTGTAGTCGCAAACCGCGGAGCAACTATTCGAGACGCTTGAATAGGTGATAGATTCTAGCGGTGAAAGTAGACTTACTTAGGGGGGTTTCGGAATTTCGGGATTTCGGTAATTGGACTAAGATTGTAAAAAGAGGAATATGTATAAAAGGAAAGACAGTGGGATGGATATCTAGGATACCTGAGAGGAGTCGAAGTTGAGGCTGTTTTTTATGGGGCCTTTCGCTTAAGCATGCTGAAAGTGATGAGTTAAATGCTGCATATAAGCGCATTAATAGGTAGCAGTATACTCGTCCCTCAAGCCTCAAGCTGCCGCGACCCTGGAAGATATTAGTATTTTAGCAGACCGCAGTTTCAAGAAAGCATGTATACGCAGTATACTTCTACCTATCCTGTACTAGGTTCCCATTCCTGTTAGAAATAGATTTTCGTGGGGGAGAGATGCGAAGGATGCGCTAGAGCGATATCTCCTGATCTATGTAGATATTTCCCGTCCTACGAGAAAAAAAAGAATCTACTATAGAAAAAAAAATACTCCCCGGGAAAGGCTCGAACTTTCAACCTCCTGATTAACAGTCACTGGAATTGATTGTTAGATACTGGGTAAGTAGATTATATAATTGTTTGAGAACAACTTACGACGCGCTAGCCAATTGCGCCACCGAGGATAATTAGTGGCTGTTGGATATTAGCCCACAAGCTTATGTCAAATAAGAAACCCTTGATCGGTGACAATCGGTAGATACTAAAAATACTAGGATTATAAAAAAAACAAGCTCCCCGGGAAAGGCTCGAACTTTCAACCTCCTGATTAACAGTCACTGGTTCATGTTAGACATTATTATTTCGTTCATTTATTTCAATGTAACTTACGACGCGCTAGCCAATTGCGCCACCGAGGACAATTAGTGATTGATGGACAGCGGCGAACATATTGTCACATAAGAAGAAGTCAGACAAGGAAGAATAACACAATGTTGTAACTAGAATAACGCCTGCCTGCCCCTTGACTCAACAAAAATAGTCGCACTAATGCTGACTGGATGGCATGCAGATATGTCGGTGACGGTTACCGTATATCAATTCTCTCTGGTCATGATGTTAGAGTACGATACGATAGCAAATACTCTGTAGATAGGTATTTATCGGATGCCAAGTCACCTTGGCAAGGCAGCTGAGAGGTATCTGTATGCGAAGTAAGATTCCCGCAAGCCCTTCAGACTCAAGCTATGTAAGTACTTGAACAAGTGAGTATTGTCATGCAAAGAATATGATGGATATGGGTGCTATATAGGTAATTGTAGCAAGTACGAATCTATCTATCTAGATTCCAGCGTAGTAAGTACTACTTCATAATAGCTTCAAAAATGGCAAGGATGAAAAAGCTGCAGCACCACCCCTCGGGGCACCGGATACCCATGCGTACTCAAGGGAATAAGACACAACACATGACACCAAATTTTTTTTCGTCCTCAGATAGGTAGGTACTCAACAACCTGCAGTGTATATAATAGTGGTGGTACCTTGTTGTTGTGTAGGTGAGTATGCATAAGGGCTGGCACATGAGAGTCTTATTCTCCCCGTAGGTATTTAGAATCTTAGCTTTTTCTCGTAGCGTCTGGGGTTGTTTCCTTAGCAGGATCTTGCAATGACTATACTTACGCAGTACTGTACTGCACATGCGCTGCAGACCTGAGGTATACTTATATCTGAAGTTTGTAGTTCATTGTTCATGGCCTAGCTACTTATGTATATATTACGACACTGCATGTAAGTCGGTATTCTTGTACTAGGGAGACAGGCATATGACGTGTATAAAAAAGTCCCTAGTTAAGCTCCTGTGTCTGTCTGATTTGTTTACGTTAGGTCTCTCTCCCTCTTCACGCTTATTTTTTCCCTACCTTTTTTTCCTGCTTAGGGAGTACAGAATTAGGTAGGTAGTCTAGATAGCTACCTATTCAATAGTAATAGTGCCTACGTAAGTGAAAGTACCTTTCTACTTTCTAGAATCTACATCCTTCCGTCCGTCAATTCATCGACCCATGCCATCTGCCCTATCCACATCCCACATCCACATTCACATCCACATCCCCCATCTTCAATCCATCCATCCGTTCAACTAGGAGGTACATACTTACACTACACTACCTACCTCACCAACACACCTGACTCACCTATTTCTATTTCTCCCTCTCTTGTCCCCTGCCCCCCAATCTCTCCCACCTTCCCCCCCTCTCCCCTCGTTTTGTCTTTCATATTCAGTCGTTGTAGGAGCAGCAGCAGCAGCAGCAGCAGCTTCAATCGCTAGGAATTCACACCCCACCCACGATGCTTTCCACACTGCGCATTGCGTCTCGCCAGGCGGGCGCCGTCCGTCGAGCCTCGTCCGTCTTCGGCTTTCAAGCGGCCAGAGCTGGCTCCACCTGGGCCAACGTGCCTCAGGGTCCACCGGTATGTCGATTACCAAGTCGTGTCTTTTGCGATGATGATCATAGTAGAACAAAGATGGCTAACTTGGTGGTGGTCGTGGGTGTTGTAGGATGTAAGTCGAAATCGTAGATGCTGAGGCTGGTTTATGTGCACTAGTCAATTGAGGCTAGCATGTTGTTGTCTGTGCTCGGGACTTGAATTGCTGATGCGATGTTGTTTTCGATTCGTTCAGGCCATTCTCGGTATGTTGTGGTTCATTTCCTCTTTCACATGTTTCGATATTCACCTATTTGTCAATTGACTACTCTGCCATCTGCTTTCTCTCTATAATGTATAGCTAACATGTGATGACTAGGTATCACCGAAGCCTTCAAGGCCGACAGCTTCGAGAAGAAGATCAACCTCGGTATGTCTGCCGATGTTTGCTACCTGCATCTACTGCCCAAAGCTCCCAAAGCGCCCAGAAGCTCTCCCCCCTCCCCCCCACATCTACATCTCGACACCCCTACTAGTACTATAAGCGATGAATGAAAGGAAATGAACATGCCCTCATTGATGCTCTGTCTGTGCGCCTACAGGTGTCGGCGCCTACCGCGATGACAAGGGCAAGCCCTACGTCCTGCCGTCGGTGCGCACCGCCGAGCAGAAGGTCATCGCCGCCAAGCTGAACAAGGAGTACGCCGGCATCACGGGCGTGCCCGAGTTCACCAAGGCCGCCGCCGTGCTCGCCTACGGCAAGGACTCGTCGGCGCTCGACCGGCTCGCCATCACGCAGTCCATCTCGGGCACGGGCGCGCTGCGCATCGGCGCGGCCTTCCTCGCGCGCTTCTTCCCCGGCGACAAGACCATCTACATCCCGAACCCCTCGTGGGCCAACCACAAGGCCGTCTTCCTCGACGCCGGCCTCAAGGTCCAGCAGTACCGCTACTACGACAAGGACACCATCGGCCTCGACTTCGCCGGCCTGCTCGCCGACGTCAACGCCGCCCCCGCGGGCAGCATGTTCCTCTTCCACGCCTGCGCCCACAACCCCACCGGCGTCGACCCGACCCAGGCCCAGTGGCAGGAGATCAGCCAGGCCGTCAAGGCCAAGGGCCACTTCGCCTTCTTCGACATGGCCTACCAGGGCTTCGCGAGCGGCGACACCGACAAGGACGCCTTCGCCCTGCGCTACTTTGTCGAGCAGGGCCACGAGGTCTGCCTGTCCCAGAGTTTCGCCAAGAACATGGTATGTCTCGGTCCTCTTTCTATTCTTCTTCTTCTTCTTCTTCTTCTTCTTCTTCTTCTTCTTCTTCTTCTTCTCCTTGCTGCACAGAATGGCTGACTGACTCCCCCCCTTTGTAGGGTCTCTACGGCGAGCGCGTAGGCGCCTTCTCGATCCTCGGCTCCTCGCCCGAGGAGAAGAAGCGCCTCGACTCGCAAGTCAAGATCCTCGTGCGCCCGCTGTACTCGAACCCGCCCGTGCACGGCGCGCGCATCGCGTCCGAGATCCTCAACACGCCCGCCCTCTACACGCAGTGGCTGGCCGAGGTCAAGGAGATGGCCGACCGCATCATCACGATGCGCGCGCTGCTCAAGGACAACCTGGAGAAGCTGGGCAGCCGCCACGACTGGAGCCACATCACGTCGCAGATCGGCATGTTCGCGTACACGGGGCTCGACGCCGCCGCCATGGACGCCCTGGCCAAGGAGCACAGCGTCTACGCCACCAAGGACGGCCGCATCAGCGTCGCCGGCATCACCACCGACAACGTCGGCCGCCTTGCCGAGGCCATCTTCCAGGTCAAGGGTTAAGTAAGAGAAGCACATGTGTGTCTCTTACGGACCGACTTCGCTACTCTTGAACCAAAGAAGAAAACGAAAAAAAAGGAACGAACGAAACGAATCAATATATGTGTACGAGTCTCACGGGAATGATGGAGGCGTTGTCATTTTCTCTCTGTCTTTCTCTCTGTTTCTATCTCTCTTCGTTGTGATATCAGGAAAGGGAGGGAAATGGGTCATACAGGAGGAAACTGACTTCGCCTTACCTTACCTTACTTTGCCTTGGCTTGCCTCGTCTTGGCCCAGCATCGTTATCTCGTGCTGTGGATACAATGTTGAATTAGCGTTTTTAGCATAACGCTGCTTCGGCGGCAGGAGGCCTTCCTTTTCTATCCATTCCTCGGATCTTGTACTTGGATGTTTTGTTTTTCTTCCTCCCCTTTTCTCTCTCTCGGGTACCTACTTAGATAGGATACAGATGGGATACAGATAGGAAAAGAAAATACACCCGGTAGATAGATAGAAAGATAGACAGACGGCGAATATACAAAACAAATCAACCAAAGCTACGTTAGGTCTTCTCGCTGATGTCTGTGCGGAGTATAATTCCTTTGCGGGCTTTTATAAGAATTAGTACTTGATCTTGGCGTGTAGAAGTAGTCTGCTAAACGAATCTTATTATCGCAGCCGATTCAGATCCCCCTGAATCTCATTCAACCTCGTCTCCATCTCACGCCAGACGCGCCCCATCTCGCGCATCACCCGCTCCTTATTCTCATCCACAGTCGCCGTGCCCCGTCTCCCCCTCGTCCTTATCCGGCTACCACCACCGCGCCCCCGGTTCTGGTTCTGGCCATCGACGTCGACCCCGTAATCAGCGAGCTCGGCCTCACGCACACGCGCCCCGTCCTCAAGCCGGCGCCCGGCGTCGCGGAGGTGCTGGCGGTAGTTAGCTAGGGCGGCGCGCGCCTCGGGTGGGTAGGCCTGGCGGCGCGTCTCCCAGAGCAGCGCCTCGGCCGCGAGGGCCCACTCCTGCGCATCAGCGCGAGCCTGCGCGGCGCGCAGTTCCGAGGACGCGGCGACGGGCCCGTGCTTCGCGTCGAGAGCGCGCAGGAGCAGCGTGAGCGCCTCGGTGTGCTGTTGGAGGTGCCTTGTCAGCGCCGCGGTGGCGGCTCGACGGGCGGCGGAGAGCTGTGTCTTCGAGCCCGCGAGGTCGGAGACGAGGGTGCTGGCGATGGAGGGTAGCGAAGGGATCACGCGGTGTATATAGGATGGGTTTGTGCTGGGACGTAGGACGCGAGCGAGAGTTTTGGCCTGCGCTGTGAGACGGGCGGATACGACGTCGATGAGTTTGGGGAAGAGGGTCGGGAGCTCGGTGAATGGTGGACTGGTGAGGAGGAGGGTGACGGACGAGGGCGGGAGTGTCGAGGCGTTATTCAGGAAGGGCGGGATGAGGGTCAGGAGCTCGACTAGATCTGGCGGTAACGAGGGTGTCGGTGGTGTCGTCTGGGCTTGCGGTTGGGACCGGGACGTGGTGCGTCTATGTTGGTATTGTCTTTGTCTTTGCTGTTGGTCTTCGTCTTCTTGCTTGGTTGTTTGTGATGTCTGTGTTGGGATGGCGGTCGAGATGGCGTTGCGGAGGAGATGCACTCGTGCTGCTTTTAGGTGGTATGCCTTGAGTTCCTAGTACAATTGGCACGCGCCCGTT